CACCTCCATATGGCCCAGTTCTTGTGCCAGTTGAAGACTGCGATGCAACTTGCCTGGCCAAAGGGACCAGGTGCAATGCAATGGTGGGATCATTCCTCAGCTCAAGCAAAGCTGATCCCAATGGAAAGCTCCCGTCAGGCGCTTGCCTCACTGAACTCAAGGTCGATGCCAATCGTGTGAAGGCCGCTTTGTCGCAAAGCATGATCTGGTGCAATGAAGGCTTTGCATACCCTGGTGGTGGTTCCCTCTGCATTGCCTGGATCAGGAAATTGGCCCATGTATTGTGCTGCTCAAAAGTCATCAGCCTTGCAAACTTGTAAGCAACTCCACGCCGATTCATTGCAAATAGGAACTGCATCTCGCTTGATGTTGGAGCGATGAGCTTGTCATCCTTGTCTTTGATCACTAGTGACCCGCCCTCAAAGCTGAGCTCCTTTGTTTTGGAACTCCCTTGCACCTCCTGGCTGCGCGAGGTGCAGCTGGAGGGTTCCAGATACTTCAAGGTGTTCGTCTCTCCAATCTGGCAGGCCTTCTCCAAAAGCAAATGAGATGGCTCATTGTCATCGCTGATGCACAGGCCACCAAGCTCAGCCCTGATTGCTGCCATGCGAGTCTCACGCTCTGCAGCTCCAATTCTCTTCGGTGTCCCGTCATCACGGGCTTCCACAATCTGCCTCAAACTCGCTGTAATCAAAGTCTGAGCTTCAAATGCCAGACGACGGATGGCTGTGTTCTCAGCCAAGGTGGGTGCACGACCCATTGCATTCTGTAAGAATGTATCGACATCTGTCACTGAGATTGCTTGGCCTGGCTGACCAACTGCAAATGCCAATGCTGACAGGTGGTTCACTCCAGCATCCTTAAGATTCTGAACCACAGTGGCTGATAGCCCTACCTCCTTTGCTCTCGACGCAAATTGCGCTTCTGAATCCAAGAGTAAACTCATTGCTCGAAACTCTGCTACAGTGAAAAAGATCAAGAAGGTATTCCACAATCATTTGAAAAGCGTATCGCGTTTGTTTCAATGTGAACAAGTTTCAACTGCCGGCAATGCAAGAAAATGAAAAGTCATGCGACAAGCAAAAATCACAGGCAAATGACATGAGAGCATGAACAAAATTGAAACTGTTCTCAAATGATGTCTGGGGCATTCCTCTGCTCCTTTGAGCCAGTTGCAGCTTCATACAAGCTGATCGTCCCTTTGGACCAACAATGCCGGCTTTCCGGAAATCTTCAAGTGCTTTCACTTGTATGTTATCTGAATGGATCACTCAATAAGGCTCTGAGGTTAGGGCATGCATTCGAGTTGCACCCAGGATGGATGAAGGCCGGTGTGGAGCTTTCTCCAACTTGACTCTTGAAACAAACAAAAGGCCCTGCAAACGAAAAACCCTGGGAAGCAAACATGAGACAAATAATGTGTTCTTGCCCACATGAAACGACATGTTGAAAGTGAGCGCATTGGCATCAACTCTGCATTCAATTTTCCTCGTGCTCACATCTCAGCTCAAGGCCCAGCGCATTTGCGACGCTTGGAAGTCTCATCCATGTGGGCTACCAACTGTTCACATGTCTTTAAACGGTTGCTGTCTTTGACAAAGCATCTCATGCATTTTGGAAACTTAAAATGAATAACACGGTCCGTTGTGAAAAAGTTTGCAGTGACACGCGTTTTGCAAATGGTCGTTTCAGATCCGGACTTGCGCTTGTGGAGGATCTTGCTCTTCTTATGCACCACGAAGTCCAGCCCTTCTGGGGCATGTTCAGTGTACACTGGCTTTGGCAAAGCGTTGTTGAAATGTTCACTTGAACTTTCATCTTCGCTACTACTGCTATCAGAGTTTGAATCACTTCCTGATGAACTGTCAATTTCAATGAGACCCTGGTTGTGCAACTCGGCTCCAAACACTTTAAGCTCATCACCCGCATCAACGCACAGCTGAAGAAATTCTTCTTGCTTGCACTGAATCTGTCCAGCTGTTGAGATCAAGTTTCCAGCCCCAACGGTGTCTTCCACTGGTGCCTGTTGATTTACCTTTGGCATCTCACCCACAGGTGGCAGCGGTGTGCTGGGAGCCTGAGCATTCAGCACTGGCGTTCTGACTGCGCTCACATGGCTGGCTTCAAAAGGAGCCGTCACAGCATGCACCTTTGAAGAATCTGATGTAGGATCCAAACCGATCCTGACCTTTTTCAGCAGCATTTGGAGTTTGCGGATGGCTCCAGACTGAAGCTCCCTCGAATATACAATATCCGACCCATGCAGGGCTGAGGCATGGTGGCTGAGGGTGGCTCTGTGCTCTTTGCTGAAGCCTGCCCTCGCTGCCCAAATGCACAGCGTAGTTTTGAGCGAGTGCGCTCTGATGCTGCCAACATTGTTGCACCCCTTCAGCAGTCGCCTCAGCCACTCAGCGGCTTCTGATGTGCTCAAAGGTCTCGCACACCAACCTCCTTCTGCTCTAGGTGCTGGCAAAAGTGGACCATATGGTACACGTTGCCAGTCAAAGCCCTCTGCATGGCATAGCCCAATGTATGTGCCAATCCAGTCACCTGCAACAATCCCTTCTGAAGGAATTACCAGAGGTAGGAATTGTTCACGGCGCAAGCCCGCTGAGCTCGTCTTGTGCTCTGCAGTGTACAAATCCATTGTTGAGTTCCTTTGAAAGCCGTCATACTTTATGTGGTGGATATACCTGAGGTCTGACCACCTGGCCCTGGCGTAAATGGCGCACAAAAAGGCACCGGCGCCAATGCGATCCACCACATTTGACCCGTTCTCCAACACTTGGTGCAGCCTCAAAAGATGCTCTACCTCCAGAGATGGGGCTTGTCTGAGCGGGCCCTTTTCACGCTTCTCCACTGCCGCAAAGCCTGTCAACCTCTTTGATTCCAAAACATCCTCGCAATGGTAAAGGCCCAAAACAAACTTGCAAAACCTGACTGTTTCCAAGAATGTTGCACTGACTGTGAAACCCTTTGAGGCATCTCTGCGCAGGCATCGCAAGTGAAGAAAATAACTCCAAACATCTTGCTCTGTAAGTGGCAGTGGACATACAAAAGTATCACTCAGCACACACTTCCTTTGAAACCATGTTACATACTGTCGTAAACTTGCAGCACGCTTCAGCAGTGTTGTCGGAGACTTGACACCAAAAACTGCCTTCAGACTTTGCTCTGCCATTTCACCTGATGGGTCAACCTGCAGGTCCTGGCAAATCTGTTCGCCTACAGAGGAGGCCCTCCAGTTCAATGAAAGCAGCTCCATCCACTTCGATGAGGCCAAAGTCAACTGTGCCCTTTTTCCATCAATGTAATCAACATCCTTCAAACTTCTGACGGCATGTAGGTATGCAGGCTGTGTATCTGTATTAAAAGGTGTAAGCATGTGCACTGAGGTCCGCGGCTCCACGTTCTCTGAAAGCAAGCTGTGGTCCGTAGTATCTCCGAGTGCAGGAGTCAACGGTGGAACAACTCGATCACAAAAGATTTCTCTCATAGTTCCAGTTTCCCATGGAAAAAGCAAATCCTGTGTAAAGTTGACACTAGTTGCAAAAGCATGTGACAACATGGAGTTCCATTCTGTGCCTGTGATCACACCAAGTTCTGAGGTCTGTGCTGTAGTCTCAGGTACGCTTTGTATGGCAGCAATGCCATCGTCAACTCCAACCCTTTCAAATCCAAAGTCAGAGTATTGAGACTCGTTCTCACCAGCATCAAAACCTTCAAACACATCACCAAACAAAGGTTGTTCAAGAGGTTGTTCATCTGCAACACTGGGTTCATATGAAACGCTGCGGACTGAGGCATGATCATCCATGGCATCTACAGGTAAGGAACTAACTGACGCGTCGGGAAGACTCCTACACCCCAATGAATCCTTTTTTGGATCCATAGCTCACAATTTTTGTGAGCCCACCCACACCGCCCTTGGACCATGCTGCAGCATGACACGAACTTGCCATGCACACCAGTGACCTGGTTTTTCACTGCAACACAATTTGATTCACTTTGTGAAGCTTCATCATGACTTGGTGAAGGTTTGGCACTAGCATGAACAACCATGTGACACAGTTTCACTACGTTGCCATGGGGAAGAATTTCCTTTTCAACCCTCTAGCAAGGTAAACTGAATGTAATTTGTTTTTTCAGTTTCCGCCTGTGTGCCGTGGCGAGGCAATACATTGGCCATGATTCACGAATTGACAAAGGCCACAAACTCCAAGGCATGTTGCGTCCAAACGTCTGTTGCCGCAGCCGAAAAAATCCAATCACCCAATCCTTTGAACCGACAACAATTTTCCAATTGTTTGTCCTGCATATCGTTTCCTTGTTTTCTCCTTGTCACATTCAATGTTACGATTCGCTTCACCCAACGATTTTCATCAAACAAAGCAATGTCGAAATTTCCAATATTCTGGTGGAACCATTGTTTCCAATCATGGTTTTGGCTACGGCCTCTATTACTGGCACCGGCGTCGCTTCGAAGCTCCTTGGGGCTGTCCTTTCCGACCTTGTTCTGCGATGCGTTTCGGTTGCACTCTCCTTGATTTCCTCTCACCCTTCTTCATTGAGATTTCGATGTTTACTGGACGGCTGGCATCCACAGGAGGCCTCCTCATCACAAGGTCTGGGGAGCTTTGCTGTGGCATTGATTTTTTATGATTTTTTTCTATTTGGTCAATTTTTTTTGGCCGGATGGCGTGCTTTCGACATTCTCACGACCTGGCTGGGAACAACCTTCCCATCGGGGTATGCCCACGAACGGGGCAGGCAGGCTGGGAAGCCACGGCGATCTTGTCGCATATTATGAGTTTCTGCAATATTCAACGGTGGATTCCCTCTCGGTCTTGCAAGCTGCGCTTTGTATCCTGTTTTCTGTACCTAAATACTGCATTTCAAAAAACATGTGACGAATGGTCACCGATCCCGCACTGCATCGAGGAACTTTATTCCCTTCAAATGACGCACCGGCCCTCTTCGTTTATGAAAACATTTTTTGATCCGAAGCGCCTACAAATGCAAGCTCAATGTACATGTGATACCAAACTTGTTACACTTCTCAACTGTGCAGTGTCATCCTTGCGCATGGGGCAACAGCGTCAAATTCTCTCACCCCGCCTCAGGTGAACAAGCTAAACGGGTGAACCTGTATTCACTTCTAAAAACCAAGTTGCCACACAATGCGTCAAGGGCTGCACAAGCTAAGGGTTCCTAGGAAGCAGGGCACTGACTTCCATTATCTGAAGTTCAAGTTGGCGCATGGCTTCCAAATCATTCCGGACTTCTGCCTCATTCCAATCACTCTCAAGACGGTGAAGTCTTGCTTGAAGCGCAGTATGCATTTCACCAAGCTCGTGTTCTATTCCATCATCATCATAGCGTGGGCCATGGTGGATTTTGCACCATTCATCATTATCGGAAACTTGACTCATATCTTCAGCATTCTGATAGCGCTGAAGTCGAGCATTTGGAGATTCTTCCATCTCATCATCATCACTTTCCTCTGACTCTTCGCCCTGAATGTCTTTCAACTTCAAGTTGTCGTGCAACACTTTCATCACTTCAAGAAGTGTTGGCTTCATGTTCAAAGAACCCTGCAACCTATGAACTCGCAAGCCAAGCCAGAAGATCAAGCCGAAGGCAATCACCAGCATGGTGAGGAGAAGAACCACCAAGGGAGAAGTCTTTGGAGAAAGCTCCATAGCATTTGCCATCGGGCTCAAGGCGCTCACCAAAAGAACACTGAGAAGTGATTTGCAATTTCCAGTAGGCAACCCTGTAGCACGAAGTTGCTTCACGCTAGACGCAACCAAAGCTTCGGAAGTCAATCTGTCATAGGTCTCTGAGCCATCACGCTGGGAACAACCTTGATCATTGATCATATACTCCAAGAAGGAACATGAGATAGAGCATGCGTGGACGTGGGTGTCTCTTTGTTCCAATGTCACTCTCGTTGTTTTTCCTTGAGCGCAAGACGGCTTCGATATCGACAGATTCTGCACTTGATCATAGCCATTTGGCCAGAGATGCAAAAACATGCAAGTGACTTCAAAACGTGTGTGATACCTATGCCAATCCTCTAGATAAGAACAGATACTACACATGCTCTAACTGCTGTCACATCACTGAAATGTTTCTCACCCCGCCTTTGCACTGGCCTTTGGTCATGTGCAATTTCAAATTGGAGGGTTCCTACATTAATTCTTCATCGCTGGAAATGTCTGTGAGGCTTTGCATCATTTTCCATACTTCCAATCTCTGCTCTGGTCTTTCGTTGCAGAATCGGCACAAGTTTACCATATATAATCTCTCTTCGTTCCACATGCTTCAGCACACCTGCAGGATTTCCAGACTCCATCTCAAAACGCAGTTTCTCAGTCAATCGTTGGATCATCCACATTGCCATATGCTCGGGGCTTCGAGGCTCAAATGGAGGAGCCATTTCTTCAGCAAAGAAATCGTCAGGTGGATCTGGAGGAAGCAAGCTCTCAATCTCTGGTTCAAGAGTCGACATGGTGAAACCATTGTCAAGCTCTATCGTCATGAAATCACTAGCCTTGAAGTCTGGGTCATGCACATTCAAAGCACCACGCATGTCTTTCATTGACTGCAAGCTTGTAGGAGAAATTCCATCACGCTCAAATGCACAAAACAAATCCATGAAAACTTCGTAGATTGCATGCAGTGCACTGGTCTTTGCACTGTCATCTTCAGCTTCTGCCTCATCGATCAGCTTCAAGCTGCGTTTCAAGCAAATGCAAAGGAAACAGTACACTGCCGCTTTGTTGTACTTGGGTGCAGGGCTGCTTGAAGAGACTGCAGCACTGCCAGACGTGTCTTCTGGCTCTGGTTCTTGCAACATGCTGTGACGTGGTGGCATGGCAATCAGCAGTGAGGCAAACATGAGAAAGAGGATCACAATTGAAACCATCCAACATGAAAGTCCATGAAGTTGCAATTGCTCAAGCACTGAAAAGGAAATTGGGCTCGTCAGGCTAAAGGCGTCTGTGGAATGCACTAGACTCAGCAGCAACAAGGTCTGCAGAGAACGCTTCGTTGCAACCATGGTTTTGCGACTGCTTCTTTCACCAATGCTTTCACGCAGCATGCGTAGCACACCTCTGACATCATCTGCTGCACGTTCCCTGTTCACCACATCTGTACCAACCAATTCACCTGCACTTTCATCGTACACACCAAAACCATGCATGAGGTATCTCATTCTGTCGGCTGACAACTTCTTCGTTCCAAGGTCTGCAAAGTTTTCCTTTGTAGGAATGGATGATGTTTCCAACGCCTTTGTTTTCACAAGCTGCTGCACCCACAGAACCCTGCAAGACAAGTGCCTGATGCGTCCAACGCCAGATCTGTGAAGCACTTGCTTGGCTGCACTGTTGTCCAAAATTAGCTTCAACCTGACTTTGCATCCAATGCAAAACTCCAAGCAAACACGCAAAAGCAAACCATCGCATGTTGTAGACACTGCAGCATGAATCTCTGCCTCTGCAGAGCTCAGGGCAATCACACGCTGGGTACGGCTCGTGGAAAGCAAAAGACAACCTTGGAAACAAACTATTCCAGCACTGACTGATCGTCTGTGTCCTTTGTGAGCTGCCCAGTCTGAATCTGAAAACAGTTCAACCACCACTCCGTTGTCATCGGGTGGTGAGTGCCACAGGCCATTCAATTTCATCTGCAGACGCAAGGAAAAGTCACGTACTGAAAGTAGGTACAAACACAAATGTTTCATCATTGTCCAGCTTCTTTCGGTTGGTGCACTCATAGACCGTGCCAATCCCCTGATGGTGTATGAGCACTCGACAAGGTCTGTCGAAAGGTAGAGCAAAATGCCCACAGCTGACCTGTATCGAGATGCCTTCTCTGCCTGGAGCAATGGAGTGTCATCTACCTCCATCATCATTTCATGGCAAGGCACTTTCTTTGGGTTCATTGTGCTCTGAACCCCAACAACTTCAAACAACTTGTCAAAGTGACGTGGATTCTGTTGGATGTGGATCGTCGCATCATCAACAAGGACATGGATACGTTTCAAAAACTCAAACGTATCCCCAGGCTGTTTCATGCAGTGCACTGAGGTCTTGTATCTTCCATTGAGGGCTGGAAGAAGTTTGCCCTCGAAGTAATGCTGTTCTGTCACCACAAGCATGTCGTCCACGTGTAGTAAAATCAAACATTCACCACATGGACTGTGAAGCAAGCTAGGGTATGCACTGCAGTGTTCAAAGCCAAGCTTCTCATTGAGGAATCCACTCACGCTCTCAAACCAAAGTTGACTGCCATCTCGTTGCCCAGGGAGCACACGTCCCAGAGCAAAGGTCTCTGACCCTGAAGAAACAATCGTGGGTTGTTTTTGTTCAACTGTCAGAAAAGCATCGCCAATGTCAATGGCGCCCATCACAAACTGCTTCTCAGGATGTTTCATTTTCCAATGCAAAAACACTGAAGGCAGCAAACGATTGGTAATGTTGCTCGATGCTGGGCTGAACAGGTCCTGACGTTCAGGTGACAACCAAGCATACTCTCTTGCCACGCATCGGGCTCTCCTGAGCCAACACCTCTTGCCATTCAACACCTTGTCACGCCAGGTGATGACATACCTGGTGGAAAGTCTCTTTGGGTTCATTCCTTCAACGCTCTCAGGAGGGAGAAGGACACCCATCTGCTTCAAACGGGCCGTTTCCACTTCCATCGCAATGGCATCCAGGTGCTTCAACTGATCTGTGCTCAGCTGTGGCTCTTGCTCTGTATATGGAAAAATCAGCTGTTGCACCAACACATCTTCAGAAGCAGGCTCATCACCGTCATCATTTGTCAAGCCAAAGTCAAACTCTTCAAGGCTGTCCAACTCATCACTAGTAAAGGACGTGTAGTTGTGGTCGTCCTCATGCTCATATTCAACACCGGCCACCACACAAATGCGCACCTTCTTTGACGCAGGTTCATCTTCCAGTACAGGTGTCAAAGGCGCCTGTTGATCATCTTGCATAGGTGTGGCAAGGCCAGATGGGGCTGCTGATGCTGGAGGAGGTGCCATGATGCCAGGCTGTGGGACAAACCCCGCCTGAGCCTGTGCCGGAATTGCTGCGGCTGGCAACTCTTCAACTGCTGGTTCCATGGGAGTTGGCGGCAAACCTCTCACAGCTTCAGCTTCAACATCCAAAACCGGCTTCAACTTGCTTGCCTCGGGTTGGACGCTTGCTGGTGGAAGAGCTGAGCTGTGGGCTTCAAAACGCGCTTTGGCACCAATAATCTTGAACCCAACGTAGCAAATGAGCATTCCCGAGGGGACATCTCAACATTGCCAACTTCTGAAAGGATCCAAGGACTTGGAATGCGACGCACTGACCTTGTTATGAACAGGCCACCATTGCAGGAAATGATATGGGCATCATTGTTTTGTGTCTTGCCCAACCAAACTCCACGTTGCCAAGAAGGGAGCCCCTTGGCTGTGGGCTTGAGGTAGCCCATGCATGTCTCTCCAAAGTAGCACACCTTTCCATGATACTCCTTGCCAGTACAGCGCTCATATGCTGTTTCACCGTTGTTCACAGCAAACCTGCAATGCAACCATCCTGCATGGATGATGGCCCAGCTGTATAGAGGGTGCAGTGCACTGAACAGCACCTTGCCATCTGCACCAACTGAACGTTCCACTTGCTCGATCAAGAGGTTGGCCTGGTTGCGCAGGGTTTGCACAGTGATTTCTGCAGCACCATTGGCCTCTTTGTTCCCAGGCACAACAAGCTCGACTGTGGTATGGACTCCAAGTCCCTTCAACGCTTTGCGGCAAGCATCCAGCAAAGAAACTGTACTTGGCTCATTATCTGTTCTAAAGCAAACCTCTTGATGCCCAAGCCATGTCACAAAACGGCATAGCTCCTGAGTCAAGTAAGGAAGGCTTTTGCCACCCTTGGCTGCCGTTGGAACTGCATGCATCATCTTGGTGCTCCTATCATGTATGAAGAGCACAGTCAAAGGGTCATCTGTACCACGATCAACATAGCCAAAATCAAAGGACACCAAAGAATGCTCAGACTGAAGATGGCTCTCTCGATGATGCTTGTCCTGACGCCCCTTGTGTGCCACACAAAGTTCACACCATGCTTTGAAAGGAATGTGTGTGGCATTATGCTCTCGTACTTCTTCTTCTGTAGGCTGCGCAGGGATGCCAGGTTGATTGGCTGATCTTTGCAGTTCTTTTCCCAAGTTGTGTTTCACAGTGGGCTGCCAATAGCTCTTGCTGTTGCAAATGCTGCACCAAACGCTTGAAAAGTTGAGCTCGGGACCCATTCACTCAAATGCCCAAAGATGAACAAGCTGCTTTCAAAACTGCAAGTGAAGAACTGCTGTCAATGCGTGTGCCATCCAACATTATCTCATCAGCACCAGCTAAGACCTCATCTGGTGGGTCAGGTTCATCAGGTGCAACTGGAGCCTCGAAAGGGCCTGGCACATCGACAGGCGGCACCACCTGCAAAGGAGGATTCATGGGTTCATCAGCTGGTTCCAACGCAGGTGCATCAAACTGTTCCAACGCAGGTGCAGCAACCAAAGGTTGTGGGGCTGCTGAACTTGATGAGCTTCCACCTACAGGCCCCAACAAACCCAAGGCCTCTTCAATCACTGAGAATCCCAACTGTTCATGGGTGCATTCCTTTGTGTGTCCAATTGTGATCACCTCTTGCACTGATCCAGGGTTAGGCAATGCAGTTGTGAGTGAACTTGCAGCATATTCATCTGTGACAAAACGGTTGTGTTCATGCAACTGCCATCGTCCAGAACGTTTCACCAGGGTGGTACGATACCACAGCATGCTAGCAGCTGGTGCAAGGGTCACATCAACACATGTTGGCTTGTAAGTCTTGATACCATAGCACTCAGCTCCAAGCTTTGTCCATGTAGTTCTAACACGCTGCAATGAATCCCTCAACTGCAAAGCACGCAAATGGACACTACCTGAGTCTTCAACCATTCTGATGTTCCCTGAAATGCAGAGGCTGTTGCGCTTGAAGGCCACTGGAATGGCTTTGTCGGCTTTCACAAGGTGAAGGCTGTTGTCAACCTTCTGCAAATTCCACCCATGTTTCATCAACTTGCCAAGTGACAGCAAAGGGCTAGTTATTGAAGCCACAATGAACTCCTCGTTCAGTGAAAAATCTCCAAAATCAACTGTTGCAAGTCGAGTGCTGGAAATGTTCAATGGGCTTCCCTGTGCATCTACAAAACGTAGTCTGTCATCTGAGCTGTTGCAACACCTGTATGCGCATATTCCATGGGCAAAGCTGATCCATCTGCTCCACTGTCCAAGATGATTTCAACTGCTCGAACATGATTTACATCACTGGTATCCACAGTCCAAACACCATCGCAGTCAGAATATGTCATGTCAAACGTCGTGCAACTGCGCGGCTAAGCATCCAAACATGTCGAAACAGCTGAAAGGCTACAAATGTTGCCACCAAGAATTGAATCTGAGGTCAGGTCATCAATCCAAGGTTCCTCAAGCATCTCATCAACTGGTCTGCCAGGCCAGTCTGGGGCAAATTCAAACCTTCTGACATTGCCAACGTTCTGCTGAGGCTGTTGAACAAACGTGGTATGTGGCGATGGCTGCACAAATGAAACATGAGGCTGCACTGGTTGCTGAGCTCCAGACTGCTGTGGCTGAGTGGTGGAGGTGGAACCTGTTGAGAAATCCCACCTTCCACTTGTCGCACTTGTCCAGTAGCTTGGTCATGTTTGTATTTCCTACAGTCTCGTTTCCAGTGTCCAGCCTTCCCACAATACAAGCAAACGTTGGACTTGTCAACTTGAGTTGATGGCTTTCCTTTTCCTTTACCGATATCTGAAAACTTCCCTTTCACTTTGCCTTTGCCTTTGTGGCTTGAAACATCCATCTTTGATTTTCCTTTTGACTTGCTCTTTCCTTTCTGCTTGCCCTTGGTTTCAACTCTACTGATGTCCATTGGCGCAAATCCTCCAGTATCCTGTGCAGAGTTGGCAGAGGTGCCAATGATACCAAACTCAGTGAATGCGTGAAGGTGCCCAGTTGTTGGTTACTGTTTCAAATCCCAACACACGACTTCGAACTGTAGCATATGTTGAAGACTGATCCAAAGAAAGCTGAACATGCTGTCGAATGTGTGCAGGCAGACACCTGACAAGCACTGAGAGGCTCACTTCATCAGGCACGCTCAAACCACTAGCTTTCTGATACTCTGACATCAAACGATCAAGTCCTTGAATGTGGTCGTAGAGGGACTTGTCTTTGCCAAAAGTAGGCAAGCCCATGAGTGCGCTCAAAAGCGCCATAGCCCTAGGCCTTGTGCTGGGCTTGAACAACTTCAAAAGCTGTCTGTAAACCTCATATCCATTGCGCCCTGAAACACTACGCAAAACTTTGAGAGAACGGTTGCGAAGCAAGCCGACCAGAATTGAATGGAGTTCTTTGCTACGTGTAGCCATCTCATCAGAGTGCACGTCCATGTCAAACTCTGTGTCAACATGATCTGAGATCCATTGCAAGTCAGTCTCAAAACCGGTATCTGCAGCTCCAAGCCAAGCCAGCAAATTGAGCTCGAAGTCAGGCCAAGCTGTTTGCTCTGCTTCAGCTCCAACAGCAGTGAAAGGATCTGGCATCCTAACCATCTTGCTTGCATGTGCAAACTTTGCAGTGCTCGAAGGGGCAACTGGAGCACCACCACTGTTTTGTGCACTCAACTGTGTCATCAACTGCTGAGACAAGGTGGTATATGCGCAGCTGACGCACTGGCTGCATTCTGGGCAGCCACTATCAAAGCTTGGGCCAACTGTTGTGCCTCACTCATAGTTGGCAAATCACCACCGCCCTGAGACGTCGGAGAAGTGGGCCCAGACATCCTGTTTCACTTCAAATCTCACCAAAAACTGTTGCCTTCCAAAGGCGTTCCAATCACTCACACCAGGTTGGTCTCCAAGACCCAAATGCAGTGAAAGCAGTGAGAAATGGCTACAGCAGGGATGCGCGGCCGTTGGTCTTGCTCTCTATATATATATATATGTGTGTGTGTGTGGGTGAAGTTCAACCCACTGAGGATAGGGTCCTGTCCTCTGAGCCCTCACTCCAGGTGCCGAGGCAGATGGAGATCCCAGGGCTCCGCTACCATCGTTGTTTTTCCTTGAGCGCAAGACGCCTTCGATATCGACAGATTCTGCACTTGATCATAGCCATTTGGCCAGAGATGCAAAAACATGCAAGTGACTGCAAAACGTGTGTGATACCTATGCCAATCCTCTCGATAAGAACAGATACTACACATGCTCTAACTGCTGTCACATCACTGAAATGTTTCTCACACTCACATTTGACTTATTTCCAATTGGGTGGATTAAAAACACTCCGCGCTTGCAAAACTGTTGCATCCATAGCCACCTTGTAGACAGATGCCTAACTTTCCCAACTCCTTGCCTCTGCAAGATAGCTCTGCAAGCGCTGGAGTCGATGAAGAGCTTCACTGCCAACTCTTCACCTGGAAAAAGGTAACTAAGACATGCCTTGAGCAGCACTGCATCACAACCGCCACTCGTAGCAGCATAGGCATATGTCTCAGCTTCGCCCGAGCTGAGGGCTATCGTCCGTTGAGTCCTGCTGGACGAATGAACCAAGCAACCATGCAACATGATGCAGCAAGCACTAACACTCTTCCTTGAGCTTTTGTTCGTAGCCCAATCACTATCACAGAAAACTTCAAGCACCACAAGGTCACCATAGAAGTTGTACAACCCATGCTGTGGCCTGAAGGTCAACTGCAAACATTGGTTGGTACATCCAAGCAAATAACCAGCGAAATACTTCAAGCAAGCAAACGCATGAACTGTGGGTTTGGCCATCATGTAGCCAACGCTCGAATGGTGAACTGACATTCTGGATAGTCACTTGCTATATATAGAAGAGTGCCAACTGCAGATCTATATGTGCTAGAAAGCTCTGGACCAAGCTCGTCCGTGCGATCGTCAGCATCAAGTTCGGGATGTGCTGGCGTTTTCTTGGGTTGAAAGTGTCTCTTGATTTTCAGCCAGTCAAGCACATGCTCAATTCGATCAACATGCTCGCCTCGTCAGCCATGACATGCCTTCCCTTCAAAAAGGTCAGTTCATCACCTGGGCGACGCATGGCTTCTATTGACACTTTGTACTTGCTTTCCAAAGTGGGCTGCAACACTTCGTCAAGAAACCTCGCAGTGCACAAGCTTAAGATGTCGTCCACGTGCAACAACATGATGCAATTTCCACATGAAG